TTGCGGATGAACTCACGCACCGACGGGCCGACAATGTCCCAGTTCTTCTTGTAAAATAAGGCATTCAAGCCATCTAATCCCGGTGATTTCAAAGCCTCCATGCTTTGCAGGGCTGATAAGATTTCACCATCCGACACATCCGTCTCCATGGCCTGCAACAGCCCCAGATCGCATCCTGGGAATAGACTCGGCCCAAGATCACTCCTCGCGGGTTCGGGCTCGCTTTTATAAAATTTTTTTAAAGAACTCCGTCGCTAGTTGCCGAAGAGTTTGTTGATCCGTCACAAGGTTACCATCCCCATCCAACAATTCCGTTATTCGTCCACGTCGTCTCCGGAATTTAAGTTGCCTGTGGTAATAAGAGGTGTTCCTATCTCCCAGGCAGTGTTTTAAATACCGTACCGGTGGCCATACCAGTCTAGCCACTGGTACGCGGTATTACCGGTAGGACCGGTAATATCGGTGGTATTACCGGATCAACAAATATAATGATATATATATTTATATATAAAAATGTATTATACCAAATGCAAGAAAGTAAAAAAAATAATGACCAAATCATTAATTTTAACTTACCAATAAGATAAGAATAAAATATTCTAACTACCAATTTAAATTTTATGCTTTTAAATTACTAATTTTATTTTTTTAATTTTTTAATTTTTTTTTATGACCGGTATTTTGGACCGGTTTTTTCCGGTATTTACGGTATGACCTCGGTACAAACCGGTACAACCGTAAATCCGGTATTCTGTGTACAATTGTACCGTACCAATGGCCGGTATCCGGTATTACCGGTATTACCGGCCGGTACGGTACGGTATTGAAAACACTGCTCCCAGGTGCATCCAATCCCTCGTAGATTTTTGGAGTAGAAGCAACTCCTCCTGAAGAATGACGTCATCTAGCTCTTCCCGTAATTTCTTCTCAAGGGACACAAGGCTCTCCCTAAAGTAGAATTGCCGTCTTCGCTGAATACCCCCAATTCGTTCTAGAAGTCTTTTCTTACGATGAAAGATATTACCAAAGACCTTGAAATTCCATTCTGTTGCCGCTGTTGCGAAATGCTTAGCCGCTTCAGGAATACACATAGATGGCTGCCATTTATTTTGTAGCATAGCCTGAAATCCTGGGTGAAGAAGCCATGAAGTTAAAAACCGAAAGGGTTTCACCCCCTGCGCGTCCAGCCTTTGTCGACCAAAACCCACCATCAAAGGCGAGTGGTCAGATGAATGCGTGGTAGAAGTCGTACCCGACTAATTCAAATTTCTCCAACCATCCACTATTTGCTACAAATCGGTAAAGCCTCTCCATGATTCGACCATTCGGGCCCTCCCGAACCCATGTAAAAAGGTGTCCATCCGTAGCCACCTCTTGTATTCCGTATGAAAACATCCAATCCGCAAAATCGTTGCTAATGTTACAATGGTTAAGCGACCCTCCCTGCTTTTCTGAGCGATGGAGAAGACAATTGAAGTCGCCACCAATGAGCCAAGGTTCCTCAATATCCGTTGCAAGGTCCTCCAATTCTGTCCAAAGTCATCGTCGGATGACAGGATTAGGATTAGCGTAAATGAACGAGATTAGGCAGCCCTCTCCGTTTTTGCCTGCCCGGACAGGTACCACTTGTCTGGAGTAGTACAAAATCTCAATGCTCACCCCGTCTTTCCATAGCAGCCAAATGCCTCCAGAAAACCCCCGAGCTTCAATACGAAATGAATTCTCAAACTTGTTGTACCTTACGAAGTTGTTGGCCGATGCCCCACTGATGCGTGGTTCAAAGATAGCTACGACATCCGGATTATGTTGCCTAATTAATGTAGAGAAGGCCCCCCGAAATTCAGGCGAACCTGCTCCTTGAACATTCCAAGTTATAACATTCATTGGAAACCAGAGATAAGGACGGAGAGATCCCTTCTAATCGAGGCGTTGGACTTGCGTGCTCAAAGCCTGCTCATTGCACATGGGTTGGTGCTGCTCTTCCAGGCTATCCGCCGGACCTTGAAGTGTTTCCGGGTCCTCTGGCCATGGTTCCTGGAGTTGGACGCCATGTTCTCCGCCCTCCATAACGACATACCAGTTTTGTCCACCTCGATAGACGGGTGGAGGTTAAGAGGAGGAGCTGGCTTACTCTGGTCGTCTTCAATGATGATTGTCCGATGCCTCGTTGGGTCCAGCCCAGCTCCTACAATAATTTGTCCTGAGGAGGTGTTTTTTGGGTCGTGTGTTGTAAGCCCAATTGTGCTGCTCATTTTAGGATCGGTTTTTTGGACCACTTCCACAGACTTAGTAGCGCAGGCCTGAGGCCCAATGTTCTTCACGGGCTCTTGCGTTCACGCCTGGGTTATGAGAGGCATTGGCTTTTCATTTTTTCTTGTTCGTAACGGCTCGCCATTCACTTCCCTCCGAATTTCCAGCATTCCTCTTAGGAATGGTTCCCACATCTCCAATTTTCTGCTGATTGGCTCTTGAATTCAAAATTCAAATTAATTTCTGGACTTTCTTCGCTTTCCAAAACTTCCAACCGGGATCCCGGCCTGGAGATTGCTTGCGGATTTTTTGCGATCTGATCTGTCCCCTTGGCACGTCTGGGTTGCTGTTGACGTACTCGTTGTGGGACCTGAATCCAGGGTCCGTACGGTGATGGAGTCCCACCCACCTCCGGCGTTGCTTTGCCGGCGGAATTACCGCCGTCTTTGTTCCCATCCCTAGCTCTGTCTACGTTTAGGTTTTCCGTATTAACCCTTTTCTTGTTTGATGGCGGGCTGTACAGACACGAGGAACTTGAATGTCCTAGTCGACCACAAGTGAAGCAAATGACGGGCATATTTTCGTAAACTACTCTTTGTTGTCTGCCGTTGATGGTAAAATTAACGCAAAGCGGCTTCGTAATATCCACCACCACCGCAAGTCTCGCATACTTTCCGCGTGTTAAAGATGCCGTTTGTTGGTCAATTTTAACGACCTTGCCCACAATCCTCCCAATTGTGCGGAAAACCTTATTGTGGTAGAGGTGGGCGGGCATGCCCGGCAGCCTGATCCACGCAACAGTGGTCGTAACCTCGTCCTTCGTAGCATCAAACTCAAGAGTCCAAGGTTGAACGTGCATGTAACCTCGTCCAAGGTTGATCCACGCGACATCCATTTTTTTTAACTCAACTTTAACTCAATCTCACTATCATCAATATTATCAATATAATTAAATAATATCAATCAATCAGTTGTACACACCATATCAACTTTAATTTACTATTCATTCACTTACATTATTTTAATTAACCATCACTTCAAATCATCTCTCTCATACTTTTATATAAAATCAATTTTAATTATTTTATTTTGAATATTATTTTAATATACCCACTAACAACTAACCATATCACATTTTTCAAAAGTAACCAAACCAAACCAAACCAAAAAATCTAAGCAAAACTAAAAATTTTTATAAACAACATGCTCTAAGTTTTTCACACCGCTGATTAATAAGCCAACTTTTCACTCCAAAAAGTGCAAAAGACATTGTGCAATAAATATGCAACAGTTGTGCGAATAACATTATGCGAAAGTTAAAAGTGTGAAGACATTCGCATAACTCTTCGTACTTTGTAGGGTGGAAAAAATTAAAGTGCGAAACGTTGTGCAATAAATATGTTATGCAAACCAATCTCATTTTTTTGGGTGAAAAAATTAAATTATTAGTAAACGGTACGAAAAACTTAATATATTAATTAATATNAATATACATAATTCCTTCTAAATGGGAATGGGACGGACCCTCCCTCCCTCACTTTATAAAAAATAAAAAACAACAAAATACATAGTAGTATAATAATCTTCTTGATGAGAGGCATAAGACGTCTTGTCTCTACCCTTATACATATTTATGTATAAACCCTTCCTTCTAGATGGTCAAGCACTCACCATCACCACCACCAATATGAAAAAGGCTGAAACGTGGGATCTTCCTCTCAAATTAAATGTCAAATCCCCATATAAATATTAATTGCAGACGTTGATCATAAATGACAGTTTTGCATGATTCGGAATCTTATTTGGCGAAAAAACATGTTTCGTAGTTTGGTTTGGATAAAAAATAATATTATTCTAAATCAATAATTTTCGGTTCGGACAATCCAAAAATACTGAAAAATTAACTTGGTAATTCCATAATAATTTGACTAATATAACCTTTTCGTTGTACTGGAACCTTTAGTAATGATATTTACTGACTAATATAACCTTGATTTGTTTTGGAAGCTTTCATTGGGTTCAATAATTTCTACGAAAACCTAAAATTAGCATAATAAATAAATATATATATATTTAATTTTAAACAAATGTTGTTATTATTTAATTTTAAAAATAGTTTCTTAACAAGTACCGTGTAGTACACAGATATTGTAACACTAAATATTTTATACCCAAAAAAGAAAAAAAATGTCAAATAAGTACTAATAATAAACATTATTATATAAATCTCCGCTGCCTTTTCCTCCTCCTAAGGCCTATCACGTTTCACATGCACCAAAAAAACAAAAAAAATTCGTTGAGATGCAGATAAGTCCCATTTGGTAGCCTACCTTTCAAAATATTTTAGTGCCTAACGCTTTACTTCGGTCTACGCATTCGGCCTTTCGCTGCCATATATACATACAATTAGCGTTTGTGTACCCATTCATTCATTCATCTTCACTGTCACTTTTTTTTTTTTTTCCTTTTAATTTCATTTGTTTTTTGGGGGGTGCGACTGTGATTGTGCCATCGTAGAGTTTCTCTTCCCTTTTATGGTCTCGCTGTCCTGTAAGGCTGTATGTCCATTTTCCTCACACATTTATTAACATATTTAAAGCATCTAACTAGCATAGGGTGGTTGAATTTTATGCATGTTGTAAACAGGACGATGGGAGATTTATGTAATAAAGTTTTTTT